ATTTTATTATACAAAAGAAGCAACAACCCACAAGCACAACACAAACGCGATTTGATTAAATTGACTGATGATGTTAAATCACATTACGCTTATATCAAAAATTATGATAAGTTAATGAGTAGTCAGACTAACAAGATGAAGGCGAAGAAGTATCACTGTAGAACCTGCTCACATGGTTTCAAGACCGAAGAACTTTTAAAGAAACACGAAGAACAGGGATGTCTAGCAGTTGAGGGTCAAACAATAGAAATGCCAAAAGCAGGTGAAACACTAGAATTCAAAAACCATTTCAAGAAAAACACTAGTAGGATGAAGGAAGTAAAAGAGATAATCATGACTGAAAAGGACAAGACAGATTTTGAAAATGCTACTACTTGCTTTATCTGTGGAAATGATTTTAAACCTGAGGACAAGAAGGTTCGAGACCATTGTCACTTTACTGGAGCTTACAGAGGATGCGCCCACGATGATTGTAATCTTGGTTTTAGTATGAGATATTATAAGATCCCTGTGTTTCTTCATAACCTTAAAAACTATGATGCCCACTTAATCATCAACAAGGCTCACGAACTGAACAAGAATTCTAAAATAGAATGTATCGCTCAGAACAGCGAAAAGTTTATAACCTTTGGGTTTAAAAATCTTTGTTTCAAGGACAGTTTCAGTTTCTTATCGTCTTCGTTGGATAAGTTGGTGAAGTTGAGTAAATATGAGGATGATAAAAAGCGTGAGAATTGGAAGAACAAGCTCAGATACAGCGTTAGAAACCCGTATGTTAAAACCGATGAAGACTTGGATTTATTGGCTGATAAGGGAATTTATCCCTATGACTACTTTGATGAATTTGAAAGATTTAAGGAAAGGGCTCTACCACCGAAAGAAGCGTTTTACAGTAAATTGAGTGAAGAACATGTAAGCGATAAAGATTATGAAAGGGCACTGAAAGTATGGAAGCACTTTGGGATTAGAACACTCGGGCAGTATCACGACTTGTATTTAAGAACTGATGTTTTACTACTGACCGATGTATTTGAAAACTTTAGAGACTTGTGTATGGAATACTATGGTTTAGACCCCGCTCATTATTATACGTTGCCAAATTTCGCGTTTGATGCGATGCTTTTAAAAACTGGTGTGGAAATAGAACAAACCAGTGATAAGGACATGTATGAAATGATTGAGAAGGGTATGAGAGGTGGAATGTGTCAAGTCAGTCATAAATTAGCAGTGGCAAATAATAAGTATATGGTTGGAACATATGACAGTTCAAAACCGAGTAGTTACATAAATTACTTAGATGCTAATAATTTGTATGGTTTGGCAATGTCCCAGAAGCTGCCATTGAAAAATATCAAGTGGGCAAAGAAAACTCCCAATGTTGAAAAATGGGATGAAAGGGATGAGTTTGGTTATATCCTTGAAGTGGATTTAGAATATCCTGAAGAATTACTCCGACTATCCACTAGCACCTGAAATAATGAATGTAAATGTGAATATGCTTTCCGATTATCAAAAGCAAGTCTATAAAATATATTATGATGGAAAAACCCCGAAGGACGAGAAAACAAGTAAGTTAATATTAAATCTAAAGGATAAAGAAAAATATGTGGTTCATATCAAGACTTTACAGTATTAGTTGAAAATGGGTTTGAAAATGACCAAAGTCCATAGGATAATAAAATTTCAATCAAGGGCATGGTTGAAACCGTGGATTGACTTCAACACTGGTAAAAGGAAAGAAGCCAAAAGCGATTTTGAGAAAGAGCTTTACAAGTTGATGAACAAGTCTGTATACGGTAAAACTATGGAAGACAAGCGAAACCACATGGATTTTGAATTAGTAGATAATGAAGATAGATATGAAAAATGCGTGAATAATCCAACTTTCAAAAGTAGATTTATTATTAATGAAAATCTCGTAGGATTTGAGAAAACTAAAGCAAAACTGAAACTGGATAAACCAATCTTTTTAGGAATGACTATTTTAGATTTAAGTAAATTACATATGTATCAGTTTTATTACGATGTCCTTAAGAAGAAGTATAACGACAACATCAAATTAGTATATACAGATACTGATAGTTATGTAATTCAAACTCAAACAGAAGACATTTACAAGGACTTCAACGGTTTAAGGGAGCACATGGATTTTAGCGATTATCCTGTGGAACATCCATGCCATGACAAAGCAAACAAGAAAGTATTAGGAAAGTGTAAGGATGAATTAAACGGACAAATGATAACATCATTCATTGGGTTGAAGCCTAAATCATACGCTTTTCAAGTCTATGGTGAAGAAGAAGAACATAAGAAATCAAAAGGTGTAGTCAAACATGAAGTCAAAAAAGAATTGAATTATCAAAACTATGAAGAAGCACTTTATCTCAACAAAAAGCACGAAATAACTTACAATTTTATTCGTAGCCGTAATCATCAAATCTTTTCAATGTCTCAAGTCAAGCAATCTCTCAGTAATTATGAAAATAAACGCTATTACGTTGACGCTTTTAATTCAATACCTTTTGGACACTCCGCTATTCCGAAGGAATAGCCTAGTGAGCCTTGCGACACTACGCATTAAAACGCTCCTAAAGAAAAAATATAAAATGTTATTAATGGATACTAATAGATATAAACACGGTAAAAATTATAAAATAACTGACGTAGGTTATAACAAGTGTTATATTGGAAGTACCTGCGAGAGTTTAAGTCAGAGAATGACAAGGCATAGAAGTAATTACAAAATACATCAAAATCATAAGTATGGAAGGATGGCGTCATTTGAACTGTTTGATGAATACGGTTTGGGCAATTGTAAAATTGAACTTATTGAAAATTACCCGTGCAGTAGTAAAGAAGAATTACAAAGACAAGAAGGACAATATATAAGCAGAAATGACTGTGTGAATAAGCAAGTCACAGGAAGACCAGCAATAGAATACCGACAACAACCAGAAGTGAAAGAACATAGGAAAGAGTATAACAAAGAATATAGAGCACTGAACCGAGATAAACTAAATGAGTATGATAAGGCAAAATATGAAAGGAAAAAGGAAGAAAGAGGGAAAAAGATAGAATGTAATGTATGCCATCAACTTATTAGGAATGACTGGATGAAGAGACATCAAGCATCAATCAAATGTCAATCAAACAAAACAAATTACAATGAAAATAATGAAAATATTAATATCTAAATAGTTCTAATAATAAATGCACTTATTAGAACTATTTAGTGGCACTTCTTCAGTTGGTAATGTGGCGAAGTCGCTCGGTTATAATGTAATATCATTGGATTTGAAAAATGCTGATATTAATTGTGATATACTTGAATGGGACTACAAACAGTTTAACAGAAACCATTTCAATTTTATTTGGGCATCCCCTCCAGCACTGAATACAGTCGTGCTAAAACTGTTGGTGTCCGTAAGATTGATTATGCTAATAGTATTTTTAAAAACCCGTGAAATTATAGATTATTTTAAACCTAAATACTGGATAATAGAAAATCCCCAAACAGGATTATTAAAGGAACAACCCTTCATGAGTGGCTTGAAATACTATGATGTGGATTATTGCAAATATGGAATGAATTATAGGAAGCGAACAAGGCTTTGGACTAACATTGAAACATGGAAACCCAGACCATTATGTAATAGGGATTGTGGGAAGGTTAGGAATGGGAAACATGTTGAAACAGCACAACGGTTACCTTCAGGAAAAAGGGACAGTTGGGGTGATGGATACATCAAACATAAACAGGAAGACCTATACAAAATCCCCGTCGAGTTGATTAGTGAAATATTTGTTTGTTTGATTGATGTGAAGGACAGTGGTTTTCTCTCCAAACAACGTCTATGAATGCCTTCATGGTTTATTGCGGTATTGCGCAATACGCTTTACGGTACTTTAAACAGTCAAATTCATTGTTTTGCAATACGGAAACGTGTGGTCTGCAATACAGAAACGGGTGTTCTGCAATACGGAAACTCCAAGATTGCAATACAAACCTCGGTCAATTACATTTGCTACTAAATAGGTCTTATTGCGGTATTGCGCAATAAGTGCGCGCAGGTCTGCGTACGGAATGTCCCCGATTGCAATACAGAACGTCCCGATTGCCAAAAGGCGGGGCAATACCACAACATGAGGGAAACAATACCACAACAAGAGGGAATAAATACAGCGGGTGTTATGCTCCACTAACATGAAATTGAGTTCAGTTTGTTCATAATATTTAATTATAATATGATTAAACAGTATAAACTTTTATAACCTTTTATTAAACTATAATTTCAACTTATAACAAACTTTCAATGACAAAAACCATGTCAAAACAAATACACCACCAACACCCCAGAACTTGATAACTACTAAAAGGGCTAACTCTTTCAAATGAAAAAATGTCGGCCCCCAGCCCAACAATGAACAAGGCGACAATTTACCCAAATGATTACCTTAACGAAAACGATATATAAGCTCCCTAAAAACACCCTTTTAAAAACGAATAAGGTGGTTAATAGGTTTGAGATGAAAAAAAAAAAAACATAACAGGGGACCATCAACAGACCACCCCCCAGGCCCCCTACTTTTACCATTTTTTTTTTTTTTTTGGGGGGGGGGGCGGACAATAAAACAATTGGAAAAGCGATTGGACAAGACGTCTGGAAGAAAACGTTGTCCTGAGTCTTGACACAAAGAGCACTAAACCACGCTAGACGAAACAACCAACACGAAGCCAATCCTAAGCCAGCAAAAACCGACTGAGGCCCGCAGGGCCAACATATCTATGACACTCGGTGCGCAGTCGCTAATCGCGGCCGCAATGAAAGTTGCAAAAAGCAAGGAATCAGCAAAAGCCATGAAAGCCACGAAAAGCAGCAAAAGCCAAAAACAAACTCGCATCCTTGTCCTTATCTCCATTTTCAGCGAGAGAGAATAACATCGCTTTCCTGAATCATGTGTTTCCTTCTGGGTCAAATTTGAGGCGGGTCAACCCTCGCCTGGCATGACCTCCTGGAAGCTCCGCCTCGCTCGGGACGGAGGGCGCATCCCTCGCTATCAAAGGCTCGAAGTGGAGGTGCGGAGCAAACTGACCCTGAGGACCCTGGGGCTCTTGTGGCACCAGTCGCGGCGTCTGCACCTGTCGCAGCTGTTGCAACTGCCGAGGCGAGAGGTGCGCCAGTTGCTGCGGCGGCAGCCACTGTGGCACCTTTTCTTGTGGCTGCGACATTTGTACCTGGAGGGAGCCAAGGCATGGTGCAGCGAGTCAAGCGCTTGGCCAGCCTGGACCTCTTTGAGATTGGGCTCTCGGATGGCCGTCCACTCTGAATCTCTTGCGCTAGGCTGAGGCTGGCTCGGGCTGTGCCTCGGCAATCTACTGAAGAGTACCAACAGATTGGAAAGCCGGAAGCCGGCGTGTTGTTTGGGAAGATGTGTGGAGAGTTCAAGATAGGCGGCTTGATGTTGGGTTTAGGCTGGCGGAAGCCCGCGGACAACAAACGGCGTGTCGACCCGCCCCTCACCCCAGGGTGTTCGACTCCCTCCGGACCTTTGTCAAACATTTCCAGCATCGCTTGTGCATCCTCAGAAGCACCAGCGCAACATCACCAGCTCCATCAGCACGATATTCCAGGAAAACAAAAGCAAAGAGGGTCACATAAGGGTCCCTATTCGTGTCTTGTGCGGGCCTTTCCCGAGTGACAGAGGAATTGCAAACAAAAACTTGGGACACATAGGGGAGCATTGGGGAAAACATGATGGGAAAATATCGAAAAAACTTAGGGGGGGGGGAGTGTGGAAGCCATGGGGAAAACATTGGAAATCATGGGAAAAACGTTGGGAAAATATGGGAAACATAGGGAACGTTGGAAGCCGTGGGGAAAACATGGGTCATGGGGAGGACAAAAATTGGAAAAATATGCGGAAACACACCTGGGGCGAAAGCCAAAGGGACCAACCAGGGGACAAAGCAACACTAAAGTTGATATGAGGCGGCTTGGATGGAGTGAGGGGTCGGTAAGACACAGAGTTGATGGGCTTTGTTTCGTCAATAGGCTTGGTGTGGCAAGGCTTCACTTGAAACATCTGAGGACTAGTCTAGGTTGGCTTTCAAATGGTTTTGAGTTTGACATCGGAAAAATGTAGGGGTGGGTTTAGGCTGTGGAACATCGAACTGCACTGGGGTGTGAAAGCAAACAAACGGGGGGAAGACATGTGCCACACGAAAAGGGTGGATACTGCCGTAAACGCTGAGTACGGATACTTAGGACTTCTAAGCTTCCGGCGGATCCCGAAGCGGAGCCAAGGGCATCCTTTCCGAGAAAGCGTTGGGAGACGCATTGGGCGCAATCGCGTTGGGCACGTTGGGCACGTTGGGCACGTTGGGCACGTTGGGCACGTTGGGTACGTTGGGCACATTGCTTGTGCCCTTGCCCTTCCTGCCCCACCTCGACAAGATCGCGTAAGCCAAAGAGGCCAAATTCTTGGGCCCAGGCTGAAGGAGGGAGCGATAGATCTGAATGCCGACCACGTCAGTGGCCTTGGGCGAGGACGCAAGTCGTACGTCAGGCCGTGCGCCACTCTTTCAAAGCCTGACCCTTGGCACAGGCACCGATGGCCGCACCAAAAGTGAATTCTGTACGAAAGGCAGGCAGCAGGAGAAGTGCCAACTGCCATTGGCTTGCCTGGCCACATGTGCCAATGGCAGCTGTGCAGAAAATGTCGTCGCTGACATCAGAGACTTGCAGCAAGTGCGATGCCAGCTGCCACTGCGCAGACACCCGACAAGCACTGATGGCAGCACTGAAGCAAATTCCGCTGGTGCGCAGTCGCCACCCTGACAAGTTCCTCAGCAAGTTCATTGCCACCTGCCACTGCCCAGCAGCTTCACAAGAGCCGATGGCCGCACTGCATGTGTAGGCGTCTGGGCACACGCCGTTTTCCAGCATCCAGGTCAGGATCGACAAGGCTGCTTCCCATTCGCCGCAATTTTCGCACGCGCTGATTGCAGCACTGCAACCTAAGTCACGCCGAACACATCTCAACAGAGTGAATCCTCTGAAGCCTAGTGTCATCTGTATTGTCCAAGTGGCTCTTGGTGTCGGCCAAGCCCGCTCGCTGCATGGCGTGCAAGATGTCCAGTGCAAATTGCCACTGGCAGCCTCGGGCGCAGGCAGCAATGCCCGCGCAACAGGCGCCCGTGTCGCCGGATGCAAGGGCATCAAAGGCATTGAAGAGCCGCATGGCCCGAGACCACTCGCTGCCGGCGCCGCAAGCGCAGATCGCGGAGCTGAGAGCCACGGCATCGAAGCCGTCGGAGTCGTCTGCAAAGGTCGCCACAGGAAAGACGCCCGGCGTTGCCTTCGTTGCCTTCGTTGCCTTCGTTGCCTTTGTTTCCTCGAGAGAAGCCCTGGCCTGGACCATGCGTGCCAACAGCCCCACTGCCCGTGCCCACTGCAGGCCCTTCTCGCAGGCGCTGAGGGCCGCGCTGCAGCCGGCAGTGCTCACAGACCTTCCCAGCAGTGCCAGGGCCCGCCGCCATTCTGCGGCCTTCTCGCAGGCCTGAAGGCTCCCAAATCCCAAGTAACTCCAAAGGCAAAACCAAGACTTTAAAAGAGAACACAAAACACGAAGTCACGAACACACGAAGTCAAGTACGTTGGGTTCAATGCCGAAGCACACTGATGGCTGCGCTGCAGCTGAACACGTCAGCGCTGGTGGCAAGGGCCACTGCCAAAGGCCACTGCGTGGAGCGCGCGGCAGCAGCTGCTAGGCACGGCCTGGCCGGGGAGGAAAACGCTGCAAAATCGCATACATGTGCATCTCGCGCCAAAACGGCGCAGAAGATTCCAACTCGGAGAACCCTTTCAAAAGAAGACAAGTCACAAAGCTCGCGCAAAAAAAAGGGGCGCGCGCAAGCTAGCGATTCTGAGCAATGAACAACGGTGCGGATTTATTTTGGGATTTTGTTTCGTGTTTTTTGGGATTGTTTTTTTGTTTTCGTCCGGGCCAGTAAAATGTCGTATTTTAGAGCATTTTCTCACGAAACTGACGCATTTTGCACTAGCCCGTCAACATCCCCAGCGTCATTTTCAACATCCTCCGCGTGTCCGACCAACATCCCTAGCATCACCAATAAATCGTGGTTAACAAAATCCAAAAAGTAGCTGGCGGGTTGATGGGGTCAAAAAAATCCGCCGACATTGTTCGGCGTGTCGGATACTTACTAGAGGATAGAGGATAACCCCCCTACCCCCCCCCCACCCGACGTCAAATTTGTAGGTTTTTTGGGGGGGGGGGTGAGGCCCACTGCCAGGGGTACCCATCCCAGAAGGGAACTGGTACCCTGTGGTAGTAGAGGTCGTTTATGTGGTCCCTGGATCTATTCCGGAGAGAGTCCAATATGCCAATATGGATGATTGGAGGATGGATTGTCCCTGGTGGATTGTATTGTTGTATAATCCTGTAAGCGGCCTGCAAAGGTTCCTTTGTCACACAATCATGAGTATTGCTATGGTACAGAAGGGCCTTGAGCGAAATGGTTGCGGGCGATCAACATTGGTCAAAACAGACACAAAGTTCTTTTGATCGCCGGCACTAGATATGAAATATCTTTGGCTTCTTGGCCTTCGGCCGTAGCCTTGATTTATGCCGTAGCCATGTGCATATTACTTGTGACAGATAATGGATATATCTTGTCAATTGATATACTGGATTCATCCTGTTTTCTGCGCGGATGAAATGTCTTGATTTGCAAAACGGACAACAGTCTGTACTGATTCTGTGAGATACCTAGATGTATCTAAAAGATGATGTACAACGCTATGTACATGCGGGACGGATGTGAAACTATTGATCTCTCACTGAATAGTCTTGTTGGCGGTGAGGATCAATTCGGTTGAAATTCGTAGTGCCGATTTCGGGTGTTCTCTCAGTCGAGCTTCAGAAAAACTTCTGTCCTTGGCGGATCACTCAGACCAAAGGAGGTCGAATGGATGCTAGAGGTGGCAGCTTCATCAGATAGTCAAAGGTTCCACCGATAGCTGCTGTCGGATTGGCTGCCATAGTCTCCGTAGTCGTGCCAGGTCGAGTCGCTGTAGCCCTTCCACTGCCCCGCTGCTGCTTGTTGTATTCCTTATACTCTTGCTGAGTCCAGGATTGCTTCTTCTTGAAGTACTCCTTGGGTCGCTCAAAGTTTCGCTGCTTGGTGGCAGATCTGCTGCGGATGTAGACCATCAGCGGACTGTGTGAATCGGAATCTTGAGAGCCATTCATGAACATCTCGTTGTTCACGTGCTTGAAACGCAGTCGTAGGATCGTTCCGCATGGTGTCCAGTTGATCATCTTTCATTGCGTCCATCTCTTCCTTCCGGAAATCCTGCTGGATGTTTGTCTTGCCCCATCCAAATACGAAAGTCATCATGGCATCTAGGAATGTTCGATCAAACCCGGATCCGGTGATGACGGACGATGGATTGCAGGGCGCAGGAAGTCTCCATTGCATATTCCATTCTGTCCACGAGTGGCAAGTTCTCCGTTTCATTCCACAATCTCTGGTACGCCTTCATGAGGATATTCATGAGACCGTTGGCCGGATTGTAGACCTCTTGGAGTTTGCTGTAGGTGTTCGCGGACTTTTTGGCGTTCTGAAGATCTTCCCATGCTGCTCCATGGCTGATTGATGGATGAATGTGGAAAACTCCAATGGTAGCAAACGGGAGGTCTGCCCTCGTTACGTGGCGGCTGTCAAACTCGAGGAGTGATTTGTTGGATGATTTTGGGAGCATACCACGACACTCATCACTTTGCTCGATGTGGATGACGACAATTTCCTTGTTGCGCCCATGTCCTTGGACAAGTGTGCGTGGCGGCAACCTTGCAATGTATTTCTTGGATTCCCTGAACATGGATGTTCATGTGGTTGCCAGGCAGTCATAGGTCGGGATGTCGTATTCGGCATCAGTGCAATGGTTATCGGTTCCGAAGAAGCATCTGAACATACCGAATGTAGTTCCCCAGTTTTGACTCTTTGTGGAAATGTGTCGCGCCAATAGTTCCACTCTTGCGGAAGGTCCGCCGCGGACAAAGCATGCAATTGGTCTAGATGACCATTGCTTGATAACGATGCCTTTGTACCCGAATCGGATGAACGTCTTGATGAGTTCTCTAGATTTCTCATCTTGAGGACTGAGGAATGAGTCTGCTTCATTGAGGCATAAGATGTGTGCGCTGTTCTGCATCATCATCTTCACGATTGGTCGATCCTTCATCGCCATGTTGTACACCTCCTTGTTGTCCAGCTTTGGATTCCTCGTAAGGTTTCCGTGGTTCATGGTGAGCATGTTGATCGTTCTGGAGGAGGTGTCTCAAGGTCCACAGGAGGACGGTCAGTTGGTTGCATCAGCGATCCCAGGATGTCAGCAAATGCCTGGATGACTTCTGGTTTGTCAGATGTCCTGAGCTTCTTCAATCCAAATGGAAGCTTGATCGGATATCCTGATGCTGGCTGTGCCTTCCTGAACTCTTCCATGGATGGCCATTCTCCTCGGTGGTGGAAATAGAACTCTTCTTCCTCGAGGTTGACATCTGGATCGACATGCCAATGAAGCTCGCTTGCATTCTGTCATGGATCCCTGTCGTACTTCTCCATGAAGCGGGTGAAGTTCCTTTTGGTCTCCTTGAGCTCTTCCTCGGCGTCCTTCTTGGTCATGTCCATTTCAAGGTATGTCACCTTGAATTCCTTGATGAAGACCTTCGGCTTGACGGATCTTTTTTCGGAGGGTTCCATGTTCTCCTCATCATTTTCGCCCTGATCGGTGGAGCGCCGTCGCTTCTTGGTCTCTGTGGATGTATTTTTTCGGATTGTTCCTTGCTTTGTTGGTCGGTATTCACATAGTTGAAGGAGGCATCGGCGAATTCATGGATCTTGGCGTCGTACATCTCAACGTCTTCACGAGTGAGAGACTTCTTCATGACCCAGTTGTTGCTCATCATGATGTTCCCATCAGGATCAAACGCTGCAACAATATTCTTCGCCTCGATGGTTTGTCCTGTCAACGCTGTTCGCTCTTTGGAGAGTCGGATGCCGTAGTCCTGGTCCTTGAGGAATGCAAGGATCAACAATGCATCTCTTCCTATTGGCACATGTGTCAATGCTGCTTCTGGCGCGTCGTCGTCGAGGATAACGTCGTCGACGCATGCCATGTGGATGTGCACTCTCCCCGAAGGGTTTGACTGGGATTTCCCAGATTTGAGCCCGTTCTCCATGATGCTGATCAGCTGATCTCCATGTGTTGCATGGAACATGAACGTGATGGGCTTCTTCGCGAACGGCTTGATCTTTCTCTCTTCTTCAATGGATGGTGGTGCCGGCCTTCGCATTCTGGATTTTGCCTGGGCTGTGCCTTCATCTTCATGGGGCGCGTCGGATCTTGAAGGATGCGGGCTTGGAGGAATGGATTCTGTTGGAAGATCGTAGTCCGGTTCTTCTTGACGAGGTTCACGCTTCTGTCCAGGCCAAAGGGGGCGTCCAAAGTATTG